CTTATAAAAGTAAACATCAAGAAGAGCATCGAAGATAGCGACAAAAGAGACATCAATATCGCATCAACATTCATTTATTTATTTTAGCATCAAATGAAGATGTACATTGAAGATTTTATTGCAAAACACAAGGAATAAGCTTTATTTGCTGGACGTCAGACCGATCGAGTCGACGTCAAGTATGGAGGAGAACAATGAAGTGTCGACACGGTAAAAAGACACTGTCTCCCATCCTAATTGCATTTTTTAAGCTGACGAGTTTTATCTCAGTCTTTGTCGAGAGCATCCAAAAGGATGAATTCTCCAAAATCCACAGGTGCGGATGACATCAAAAGGGATGCAGCACAACGTGGAACTTTTTTCTTAGCAGCGAACTGGGACACAGTCCAAAGAGGAATATCACACTCTTAGGACACGAGCAGAGGAGCGACTTCCACCACAATCGAACCACCCTCTCGAGTCATGTCGGTCTTTCTTTGGTTCAGTCAGTTTCAGTCTCGCATCCGGAAGTTTCGATTTATCAGAAGCAAGTTTCCAATCTGAGTGACAACTCGCCAAGAGCTATGGAAATTATGTCCGTGTAAGTTCTTACCTACGGATGTGAAGAGCTCCACATTCATGGTTAAGAGGTTACAAGCCTCTTTTGCATACTCGTTTAATTTGTCACTTGTCCAGAACCGAAGGTTATCTGGCATAATAGATTTCCTTCTCCACCAATCGAGTCGAACTACACACAGCCTGATTCCGACGGTTTACGGATATGTAGGCGGACTCAATGTTGAAAACTCGGCTGTATTCCGACATTCGCTCTCGAATTCTATTCTCGAGCATTTCGATACCTTCATAATTCGGTGTCGAGGTGGCTCTTGTTTCTTCCAAAATATGCGGTAAATCAAGCTTATCGTTTTCAAGGGTTCGGCCATAATTCCTAAACTCTTTATCTAATTCTTCCTTTAGAAAAATGAATGAGGTTGGTCAAAATTGGTTTGGTCAATTTCATTTTCCTCGAATTGCTTGTATCAATCCGAGTAAAATGAGGGACAGTTGTTGACACCCAATTTTTGACCCACGTTGGTAAATTAATTATCGAGCTTCGTGAGTTTTTCAAACTATTTAAGTTAATTAGTTTTATAAATCTTGCGAAAATAAAAAAATACATATATATATATATCCTAACGTTAGATAGTATATATATATATATATTACGTAATTGTGTATATAGTTTGTATATTTTATGAGTAATATATATATATACATATATGTATATGTATATGTATATATGTATATCTTAAGTTTATTCCTAATTCCCAGGCCCACCCGTTTTCCCTCCTCTTCCCCTCCTCTAGTCCAACCCCAGACCCACTTCCTGTCATTTATTTCCAGCCCAAACTTCCAACCATTAAGCCCATTCCAATCCCAACCCACTAACTTAATCATACTCAGCCCATACCAATTACATCTCTTCCGTCCGGCCCACCTAAAATCGACCCAACCCATTTAACCCCCGATCCAAACCCGCCTACACCCGATCCAAACCCGCCTCCCCTTCCTTCTTCCCCAAACGTTTCCAGAACATAACCATTCCCAAAACCCACCAGAAAACGCAGAAAATTTGCAACACCCAAAAACGGAAAAACCCTCTCTCACCCGCGTCTCTCCCCCACGCTCTCTCCCTTCCTCTCCTCGCGTCTCCCCCACGCGATTCCCCCCCCCCCCCCGCGCAGCGAAAATCCCAGAAAAACAGGAAAGACTCCAGAAAACGCAGACCTACGCAACTTCCCCCTCCCCCAACGTCTCCTTCTTCAACCCATCGTACCATGTACAGTGCTTTGAGGCTGTGGCAGACCTGCGTTTCGGCTTCTTTTCAGAGATTTGCAGCCTTGGGTACGAAAACCAGCTGTATGATTTTGAATTTTTAATTGAGGGGGAGAATTTCGATTTTACCCCAAACCTTTCCTGAAATTCCCCCGCCCTCCTAACCCCGAAACCCTAAAAATCTTCTTCTATATAAACCCCACCCCTCTTCCGAAAAAGGGGTTGGCGATTCTGAGGATAGAGATTTTAAAGAGTTCTTTTGAATTAGGCATTGTTTGGCAATTTTTTGGTTGAAAATTTTCAGTTGGATTTCTGAGGAGTAAGAAGTTGTGAGTTAAGGCAATTTTCGTTCAAAATTTGTTTCGCTGTTGTTTCATAAGAACAGAAGAGAGAGAGAGCTGCGTAGCTAAGGAAACTGAATCACGATTTCATCTCTTTTGCTGGTTGGTTCGTTTTCGAAGCGTTTTGCGGCTCTCGTCGTAGGAAGCCACTGCTCCCTGCTCGCTCGTCCCAAATTCGCTGCTCTTCGACAGGTAAACGCCCTTCTACGTGATTTCTCCCTCTTCTCGTTTACAATGTGATAGATTAAGGATTGAAAATGGTGTCGTGCTTTGCTGGATGGTGTGTCATTGCTGGTTTTGGTATTGCTGGATGTATTTCGTTGAGTTCACTTGTTTTCTCGTTGTCCCCTACCTCTTTCCGTCTTCTCATTTCTTCCGTCTTGAAGTGATTCTTCGTCGTTTTGTGTGTTGGGTCTATTTGCCAAACGTGTGAACGTTAAGCATATGGTTTGTTTGCCGTAACTGTAGGATGTCGCACGTGTCGTATAGCATGATGTTGTTCTGTTATGTTTCCTCATCTGAGGCTGCTCACATGTCGATTATGAGTTTGTCATAGTGTAAATCGTATCGTATTGGTCTTGAGTTGGTTCTGTTCTAAGATATATGTGACTCGTTGGTTAAATATAGAATGATATTTGTTGGGTTTAGCTCGAATTCGTGATATATCACGCGTCGTAGTTCTGCTCGTCACCCCTGTTCATTTGTGCTGTTAATTTGTTTATCACATGTTCATCATGGCGTAGGGTGTTTACCTGTCAGTATTTAGGATCGTTTTGGCTAGCATTTGGTTCGTAACTCACAGTTTACCGTTGTTCCTGCTGTTTACTCTGAAGTTTCGCTGTTAGCATGTGCTGCGAATCCGAGCCCATGTCTTCCACTTTGGGGGGAGGGGGTGTGGGATGTGAAATCTTGTGTGGCCAGCACCCGAAATGTCTTCGATAAACAATCTAGTTTCTCCCTTTGATCCCGACCCCCTTGAAGGTGTTTTCCGTTTTGCTCTTCATTCTTGTGCAAGTATTGTCTGTTAGATCTGCATTGTTTATTTTATTTTATTTTATTTGTTCCGTTTTGATAT